ATGACTTTTCATTTTATTCCTAACAAACATAAAATGTGTGTCATTTTTCATAGCTACAATTAATGCTGTCAGGCTCTGAAGAGCTCTTCTAAGAAAAAGGATAGTTCTTTTGGAAGTCGTGAAGAGCTTTCACCAGCACAGAATTCAATTAGTTAAATCCTTCAGTGGCTGCTGAATTGCACATGATCACAAGATATCACCCACACCTACCTTTCCTCTTCGTTCCCTGTGTTCCACCCTAACCTTTCTTTCTCCCTGATCCCTTTACTCACTTTTCTCATGCCCAAAACTGTTCCTCCTTTCATGCTGTTCCTGGTTTTTGGAACAGTCTCCCTCCCACTCCTTAACCATCTTCTTTCTTATTTAAAATCTCTTCTCATGGCCACTGTTGTTCAGACTGCAATCTCTTCAGAGCTAGAGTCAATTCTTATTCTATATTTTGTGGAACACCATGTATATTTATGGTGCTTCATATGTTAACTCAGTTTATTATCACTGAGCACAATTCAGAACTAATGGCAACCCTCACACACACACAAACAAACTCATTGTTTTCAATGGGATTACTACCGTGAAACTCCATCCACAGGTGGCCATGAATATGGACTGTGGCATGCTAAAGTTCCACGTAGAAGACGTGATGGTTGGGTAGAAACTAGCAGTGTGCATTTGTGCTTCAAAATCCATCTGTGGTGGAACTCAGTCCGCATGTTAGAACTGTTGCTTGATTTTAGGAAGTTAATATTATGTTGGATAATATCTGTTATAGGCTGGCAATTAATCTGATCAGAAGTTAAAATTCTTGTCCTAGTGTGAAAGGGAGTCACCCCTCTTAAGAAGCGTGAGCCGCCTCCTATGTCCAAATTTACTTTCCTCACCAACAAAATGCTAGACTGGTACGTTTGTACATATTGATAACATATACGTGCATATTAATAAGGACAAAATTAACAGATGTGAGAATGAGCTAATCAGTGATTTGAGTTCCTTTGAACTTGACAGGTGCACCACAACTTGAAAGAGGATATGAACTTAGATAAAAGGATGTGTTAAAGCAGAGTGTGAGGTTAAAGATCATGATATAGGGACCTTTTGCATTAGCAAATCACAACATATGTAGGTTCAAAATTACTTCACTAACTTTGCATTAGCTCAACATACAGGTTGTGAACTACAGGACCCTTGTATTACAGGCAAAAATACTCCAATATAAACCATTAAACCTGTTATAACTTCTTATAATAAAATAAACAATAAAGCTCATAAGAAAATATGAAATCCATAAAGAAAGATATATAATACAGGCAAGCATGCAGGCTAGCTCCATAGGCTACAGAGCTCTGGATTGGGTTTCAACATACCTAAATTCTCAGATATGCTATTGATATGGAGCATAATCTTGCCCTCATTTCTTTGAGTTATGGAAAAATTAAATGATTTGTCTAAAGTCAGGTAGCACACCTGCAACAACACGGAAAATAGAACTCAACTTTATAGGATAGGGAACAAGGTAATCTACCTACCTCAGATGGAAGGTTTGAGAAATAATTATCTACAATTGATAAAACTCTTTTAGCTCTTTAGATGAAAGAATAGCTAGTGTAAATTATTGTCCAACTTTTTTACCTTTGGAATTCACATTTAAGACTGGAATTGAAGTGAGGTTTCAAAGTGCTTACTAAAAAGTATTTGGTAAATTTATTATTTACCAGGGGACTGTGCCCCCTGCTCTCTGGGGATAGGTGTCTGGCAAGGGAGGAGCAGGCTGGGGCGCTGGGGTGTTGGCTTGGAGGGGTAGGGCTGAGGGTGCAGGGTGTTGGGTTGAGAATATGAATGAGAGAGCTGGGGGTGCGGGGTCTCAGTGGAGGAGGTGAATGAGTGGTGCAGGATATCAGCTTGGGGGCTTGCGCGTGGCTCCCAGCACCATAGCTCAGGCAGAACGTACTGCTGCTTTTTAAAGTCTAGCTAATTCGTTTTGCATTAATCGCTTGACTTAACTATGATTAATTGAGAACCTCAACAGTGGTCACTTTTGGTCACCCTACCTCCAAAAAGATGTAGCAGACATGGAGAGACTTGCAAGCTAGGCAGTGAAAATGATTAGACCCCCAGAAAGATTGTGTGTGAAGAGATACTGAACAGATTAGGACTGCATCACACTGCCAGAAGACAGCACCCTGGGGCGCGCCAACGCAACACATACCAATGAATAAGCGGGCACACATAGGGGGCTTGAATGGCAGAGGGGACCCAGTCCCAGCGGTTCCTCCTGGCGGTGCATTCCCTCACCCCCCTTCACTTCCCCCCCCCGGGGGCATGAAGCTGGAACTGGAGCAGACCAGACCTGGAGGGGACAGTGCTGAGGCTGGCTACAACAAGCATCTGAGGGCAGAGGTAGGCAGCAGCAGCGGTGGCATTTGGATGCTGATGACGTCACTCTGTTGTTCCTCAGGAATTTTTTATATATATATATAGAGAGAGAGAGAGAGTTGAAGACTTACCTGGCATTGGCTAGGTCCTTCAGGACAGGGGGCTGACAGTGTGGGGATGCAGGAGTAAGGACAGGCCTTGGGCATGTGGGGGGAAGGGCAGGAGTCAGTGCTGGGGGCTGAGGAGGGACTCAGGGCTGGAGGCTAGGGATGTGGGAGAGACGAGAGTGATGGTTGAGGGGTGAGGCGGGGCTCAGGGTGCATGGAAGGGTCCCCATTCGGTGAGGATTTCCCTCTCCCAGCTGGGCCTTTTCTCTCACACCAGCCCCCATGCCTGAAAGGGTTCTTTTCTCTTCCCCCAACTCCTGTCTAGGAGGGACCTTTGCTTTCCTCCCAGGCCCTCAGCCAGCAGGGGTATCTTCTCCCCCACAGCTAGCAAGAGCCTTTTCTCTCTTCTCAGCCCCACCTCCCAGCCATCAGGTGCCTTCCCTCCCAGTCGACAGGTCTTTCTCCCACCCCTGGCTCTGGCACTGTGGCTAAGGGCTTGGTGCATGGGGTTACTTACTTAGTCTGGTGGCAGGCAGCTCCAGCTGGTGACTCTCTTGGTCAGGGGTGGGCAAAAGCCACTCAGCAGGCTGGATCCGGCCTGCCTAGGATTTGATCTGGCCCACAAAGCAGTTCTAGGCCCCACCCCTTGGCGCGTTGCCTGGGAGTCAGAGATGCACGAGCCCTTTACATAGAAGCAGTTAAAAGGGCTCGTGCCTTTCCCGCACTTGTCAGGCAACATGTTTCCCAGCAGCCACTGGAAACATGAGAGACCTTTAAAATAGAAACAGCTAGGAGGGCTCACAGCTCCTGATGCCTGTAGCGCGTTCCCTGGGAGCCAGAGATGTGCAAACCCTTTCAACTACTTCTATTTAAAGGGCTCATGCCTGCTGGGTGGCTGAGTTGCCTGACAGCCACCCAGCAGGTGCAAGCACTTTAAAGAGAAGCAATTGAAAGGGCTCGCAGCTCTCAGTCTCACTGAGCTTTCTCCTCTCCCCCACAGGGTTACAGGCTGGAGCTCCAGGTATACAACAGCCCCAGCGTGCCTGGCCCAAGCAGCTGGAGGAAACATGGGGCCCCCAGTGCAGCAAGGAGCCACTGCTGTCACCCCCTGGCTCTAGTTCATGGGATCCGGGGCCCAGTGGGCAGCCCAAGGCGCCTCCTGAGGTCGGGGGGTGGGGGGTAGGATGGGAGAACCCTGAGCCATGGCTGCTCTTTTCCCTTCTGTTGAGGCTAGGGGACGGGCCGACGTACAGTGATGTGATGACATCACGCTGCTGCCCCACAAGAAAAACTTTCTTTAGAGAGATGAAAGGAAACTTTTTAACAAGCGAATAGTGTGATGGTCTCACATTAACAAAGATCTCAGTTTTCTACAAGCCTGCACTAGTAGAGCTGGTATTGCAATTATGCAGCTGATCAGGAATAAGACACATTTGCAAAACTTTTCCATGGACAGATATTATTGCAAAGTCTGGCTATGGCTGCTGCTGTAAGTCTACTGCTTCATAAAAAAATTACAGGTCACCAAAAGGCAAGGAAATAAGCAACAATATCAAGTGAGAGGAAACAAACAAAACAACCAATCAAGCCAGCAACACTAGAGACAATAAAACTAGAGACTGCTTTCCCAGTGGCAACTTAATGATTACAAAATCCCTTTTATAGCATGCACAGCAGACTGCTTTCTGTCTGTATAGCTTTACTCACTGGGTTAAATTAACATTAGCTATCAAAATCCTGACTGAGATGCTAAGTCTAAGTGTCTTTCTGCTTCAAGGAGCCTTTGCATTAAACTGCATTAAAATGTAAACTGGCAGTGAGGTCTGAACAGCAAGATAAAGCTATTGAAAAAGCACAAGCAGAGTTAGGGTATGTCTACACTAGCTCGGTAGTTTGAGCTAGGTAGGCAAATGAGGGCAAGCGGAGTTGCAAATGAAGCCCGGGATTTCATGGAGTAGGTAGTTCGAATTAGGATCTTTAATTCGAACT